GAACTAAGGGTTGCTCTAGTGTAACGTAATTTAAAATACTTCCTCTCCTCCCTCTTCTGAGTGGAGAGTGCGCAATACACGCGATGTCCTTTCCGGTTTTTATATTGTTTTTGAAGTAGAGCTGCATAAAAAAAAATTAACTGCTTTTATATTCCAGTTTTCATATATACACACTCATTCATTTAAATAAAACTTGGGGTAAAGTTTTAATAGCTGCTGGTCAAAGTTTTAATGGGTTTAGTTTTTGTTCTTAGCCAATGGTATTTTGAATAAATATAAAGTGATGTCTTTCATTTGTACCTGTATGCATTTAAATATATTTTTTTATAATATATATAAGGCATTTAAAGAGTTGATTAAAGTTATAGTTGAAAAAACTTATATAAAAATTGTGTTCATAACTGAACCATCACTGACATTGATGGAACCAGGCCCGTAACCAGAAATATGCTACTGAAAGGACTGCCTTCAATTAAATAATTATCAATAAAAAACAATGTTTATCTTTTTAAACACTGATGAAACTTTAATGTATATATATACAAGTATAGTCCTTCGATATGTTTCGGAAGGAAAGAACAATTCTTGTTATTATAATTGTAACTATATGTTATTAAGATAAGGGAGTTCTACATTTTACATTCTTGTTCTAATGAGTTTTTATATATAAACTTATTATAAGATATTAACATGATTCTATACGTAATAGAATCTGAATACCGAATATAGGTGCAATGTGAAATACATTCGTATTAATCTCAGATTGAGATTATTTAGGCTTGATTTCTTATTCAATTACAAAGAACTAATATCACCATTATATAAAAAAATTTCATTCAGAAGAACAAAAAGATTGATGAGCATCGATAAAAATATGAGCAGTCACTGTGAAAGATAAATTTAAAGAGATTGATTTTCACAACTATATAAGAACGATACAATATAAATTGGTGAACTATAGAAAGGAATATTATAACCAAAGTTCGACACACCCATATTCAAAAGATAATTCAATATTTGATTTTCTCATGCTTTTAGATTAATTTCAGACTACTAAATGTAAATCTATAACACGTTTCTCTCATATACATCTGGGCCTTTAGTAATAATGGATTAAAATTTAAAAACTCTTCTTTCAAAGGGTTAATATTAAATTTTTTGTTTTAAGAATTACAAATTTCGTGTCTTCAGCTATCCAGTCGAAAAAAAAATCGGCAGGTTTAAAGAAGTAGTTGAAATGGTACGTATATGCTAGATCAGCAAAGAGATTAGACAGCTATAATAATACTCATAATAAGTTGCACCTTAACCACTATAAATAAGCCAGGCTGGGCTTAAGCCACGTATAGACCAGTTGGGTTCTAGCGATATCAGATAGAGTTAAATCTCTTATTGTGTATTTAAGGACTGTCTTAAGGTTTATCACTGAGGTTCTGTCTCAGCAGAATCCAAGCAGTTTTTAAAAAACTTTTTGAAAACCTCAGACCTTATATGGCAGTCAATCGCTATAAGTAAATAAAACTATATATGTTCTTTCCTTATAGTTATCATTTTATAATTGTTATCCAGGGAAAAAATTTTAAGATTTAAATGAAGACTTAATATTCAATAAAGAAAAAACAATTAAATATGGTAAGTCGTGCTTTATTTTCACACAAAACTAAGTAGTTTTTCTTTAAAAGAAGTTTCTATATTCTATACAAATATACCTATATACACAGTACTGTAAACGATTTAATAAGTAGTATTTATATAAGAGATTGTAAGCCTTATCAACTTACGAGTAAATAAGTGAGTAAGTGAATAAATGGAAGAAGGTTGAGACACATGACTGGTCTTCAACGATGGCAAAACAAATATAAATCGTGGTGATATTGTAGATTTTAAGAGCAGTCTAGTTGTAGTAGTATTTCTTTTGATCGAGATCATCGTGTTGGTCTATGTATTTAATCACTGGAATCGGAACTTTGATATTGGTTGGTTTTCGCTCCACTATAGCTTCAAAGCCAGTCTTCTTATCGGACTTGTAATGAACGATACGTTGGTGTCCATCAGAATCTAACAATTCATAATAACCTTCGACTTTGTCATCCTTTCGAGATTCCTTTTGGCTTTTTATGTCTTTTGTTTTGGGATCTTTTACGCTATAACTGAATTCATAGTGAACAGGACCTTTCTCGTCATCATATTTCTCTTCATGATATTGTGAAGTCACTACTACTACAAGGCAGATAAAAAGCGCTGCAATCTGAAACAACAAAATTAATTAAATTAATTAAAAAATTAACTTATAAGTCCATTAAAATATTAATCCTTCAAATGAAATAACAGAGATCATCAGTCGACCTCTGATATTAGAAATAAGAAATCACTTTTGGGAACTAAGTTTTGTTAGCAGGATATTGTTTTATTTGCATCCTTATAGATACTTGGATCTTTTAACTTAATGAAAGAAGGATTTTAACTTAATTAATATTATTTTATACCTTCCACGACATATTCAGTTAGTTTCTAATAAATGTAAATGAAAACTCGCGTTACTGATGTACTTAACTTGCTGACTTCAAGTTTCGAGTGCTTATACCAAATGGTTCTGACTTAGTTTATATAGGAAAACGATTGAAATCAGCAGCTGATGAAATATGCTCCAGTTGAAGTGGGCATGCCCAACTAATTACTTATAAAATATACTTCGAAATTTGGTGGCAGCCTACAGAAGTCAATCTAGTTTTAATGGAATCGTTGTATGTTTCCCTAACGCATAACTCGAGTTAATCAGCATCGATGGTTGACCTCAAACTTAATTAAGTCTAGATTAATTTTTGCAATATTGCAAATATTTGGCTAAAATATCTGGTTTTTGCATCATAAAACTGCGTTTGGCTGTAGGATCCAGTTTATTTGTGGACACAATTTTTATTTGCGCATTTTGAAGTTATTGAAAAGTATTTAAAATTTTAATTCATTCACTTCCAAATATGTGAAAAGTTACTCCGCTTGACTAGACAATTATACGATTTAATTAAAGGTTTTAGAAGATAAAGCATTATGAGTTAATATATAATTAATTAGAAAAATGAACTATGTAGAAGTGCATTTATTCAGTGAAAAAATCTTTCGCAATATATGAAATAATTTATTAATTTATTTAAAATAACTATAACAGGCGTAGAACTTCTCCTATGGCATATTCTGCAAGACATGTCTTTTCTCCTACATACGCAAATACAATTACTGCCATTCACCGCATTTCGTCATAATTTTTGGCAGTAGTGCCATATCTGAATTGTCACACTCTTAATAGATTAAAGCACATACCTATGAAGGAACAACTGCCTAAATGGCAATATTGTCAATTGCGTGGCAGGTTAATATAACTTTTCCCCATCTTTTTGTTCACTTGTGACGTCTTTCAACTAAAACGAGAGCTTGTTGCCAATATTAAGGACCGTACGGTTTAGCCACGACTTTATTTCATTCTTTTCAACAGCCACTTTCAAGTTCAGTACTTTTCATTTTATTTATAAGAGACCCAAAACAACCTACGAGTTCCTAAAGAAATATATCTAAGTGGATATCTCAGTAAATATTACCTAGATTAGTAAACAGGCAATTCATCTACAATTGATAATACATTTTCTGATTGAAATAAAGCGGAGTCTTCTCAACACCATAGTACCGGTGCTGATAGCATACAATGAAAACATGAGACTGTATCTACCCTATAACATAGCATGATTGTGACTAAGAATAATAGAAGCAATGTCTGTGTTTTATCTTCTTCGTCAATGCCCATCTATGGTCAATAGAAAATTAAAAGTTTTCAGTGCATTTTTTTTTACCGACCTAATAGACCTGTCATCCCGCAAAATTCACTTTAACTTGAATGGTCCGTTGCCGTTGTCTCTACGCTACTACTGTGGTCCTTTTTGGTTGCCTTCTGGTATGCGTATGAACAACGCTATTTCATGCTATCACTACGGATCTTTATTTGAGCTCAAGTGGGCTTTGCTGTGCAAGGTCGCCCCTGCAACCTAACTTGGTCCACTGTATTATCTCTACTCTTTGCATTTATTTTTTAATTCTTTAAATTAGCATCTATATATCGAAACAAATTAGTTTATATATATAAAGCACTGTTTATTTTTTTGTTGTCAGTGAATATCAAGACTAGTAGAGTTCCAATATTAGTACGGTATCAGTAACGTTAGCTTTGGTTGTATTCATTTCTAGACCTGTATATTCCACCTTGAAGGTTCAATTTCTCTGGTTTATATTATGACTCAAACAAATCTTTAAAAAAAGGGATGGGTTGTTGAGTCACACTCTACACAAACTCTTCAGCGAAATCGCACACACCGCTCTAAAATGGAATCCGCAAGGAAGAATAAATCGCGATCGATTAAAGACTACATGAAGAATCGAGCTAATCTTTCAGTGAACTAAAAGCTAGCGCGTGTTAGAAATAGTTGAAAGTCTTTGTGATTAAAATAAGTTCTTGAATTTATATTTTTGAATATATCAATAATAATGAAATAATAATACTATGATTCATTTAGTCTTTAACTAACAAGGCGTATGTATAGACTTATTCAAAATTATTTAATTATTTAAGTAGGCCTCTTTGCATGCTCTCCTTGTCTACTTGTTGTTGACGAATCTTACAGCACACATAAATTATATACATAAACCTCTCTTTCCCACATAGTAGTTACTTAATTACTATCTATTCTATCAACCAAGTACGAATATGCTGGTTACTGGTATCATTTATAAATGTAATTACTTTGTATTTCTCTATACAACTCTGTCTCTATCTCTCTGTGTTTCAATGTTTCCTCTGAAATATAATTGTATAAATATGGAACAATAAATAAACTTTTAATATCACGTTTATTAACATAATTCTTTTATTTTCTTACTTAAAGTGAACAAAATCATTATATCACAAAAACTTAAACTATATATTACTTACAACAAGTGTGCGCTTTTTATTATAGTGATCGATTTCCTTATTATAAATCAAATGATGACCGTTGGAAAAACTCGGTAAGGCATAATCTTTCTATAAATCCACATTTTCGCAAAGGTTCTAAGGCACCACAAGGAGCCGGACATCTCTGGACAATTTCAAGTGGTGACTCAGCTGAAAATATTCTAGCATGGGAGCATGTAAGTTGAATCATACCTATATAAAGAAAATATCCTAATCACGTCTTATAATCACGTACACGTTTTAGAAAAAACAACGTTTGGATTTGTTCTTTAAAATGGAGAGCATGAATCGTGAACGTATAGAACAGCATCAAAAGCAACTTCTGGAACAACAGAAACAGAAACAACAGTGTACGTCAACAAATGATAATTGTCTGCATGAACAACCATGCACATATGATGAAGCAGCTACTGCGGCAGCAACAATCACACAAGAGATGCTACATCACGCTGAGTCTATAGAGAACTGTGCCACAAGTGTCGAAAACAAGAACCTCAATAATAATCATATGCAAATTGTACGAGAATTACCTTTCAACGACCTAATGTGTGAGGATGAATTACGCAAATCCGCTGGTCAAATATTAAATGGAATACATCGAGAAGTAGAAGTGCAACCTGTGAATGCGCTTATTAGCACTTATCACGACGCATTACTAGACAATGGTATAATTTTTTTCAAATAAAACTTTTTCACATTCTCTCTAATATTACTTTAATTATTTTCATAGATTATCTCAATCCTGTACAGAAAAATGTGCCTATTAATGGAGAGCAGTCAAGAAGTGTCAATCATATACAAAACTATAACGCCTCATCTCAATACTATATCACAGAAATTGATCCAATTGAGTTGGGCATTCAAGACGAAACGGCTGCTGTACTCTTTAATGACGACTTCAATCTAAACTACTTTAGTTATAATCCCAATAATGATATAGTGGCTTGACCGGATCAAGCTGTTGCAGCAACAACAACAATCACAACAACAGCAACTGCAGTCATTAGTAAATCACTTACAGCAATAGAATCAAATTCAGCTCAGGGGCGCATTCAACAAGAGAGAGAACCACCATACGAACTCTCCATAAGTCTTACTAATAAAGTATAAACACAATTCGGAGCCTTTATTTGTGCTGGATACAAATTAAAAAAATACTTTATTATACATATATGGTATAATCTTAGGTATATGTTATAAAGACATCAACTCATCTAGTCGAATATTTAAATATAGCAAATATTTTTTGTATTATTTTAAATAACAATTAATTAATTAATACATTATTATTAAGATTAATTAAGATATAGTATGATATAATTTCACAATAACAAGTTTAGTATAATAAATCTAAAATAATTATCATAGTTTTGCACTATTAATTTAATTTAAACATTTTTTAAATATTCTATTAATAAACTTTTAGTCAAATTATTAAATAGAAGTACATAATTTTTTTTAATAATGTATTTGTTATATTAATATACCATGGACAAAAGTTTTATAACATTTCAATTTTGACTATCTTTAGTCTATCTTCATTTTGACTATCTTCATTTTGATTATCTTCATTTTGACTATCTTCATTTCGACTATCTTCATTTCGACTATCTTCATTTTGACTATCTTCATTTTGATTATCTTCATTTTGACTATCTCCATTTCGACTATCTTCGTTAGTAGATTTTCTGCTGCTAGTTTAGTCATAACCTTAACATCACTTATTCTAGAAAAAAACTTTTAAATTAATACCTTCATAATCTCTCATAGCAGTACAGATTAATTATTCTTGTTGGTATAGAAACTCTAATTATTAAAAAATGATGTTTCACCTCATTTTACTCAACGTCCTATCTTTAAAACCATCAAACGATAGATCTCATTGTTTCAATTTTTAAAGCTGATCTTTGAAGTTTGATCATTCACAAGGTATTAGAACCAAGTTGGCTTTTCCAAGAATAAAAAATGTCTATAAAATTGTTTCATTAGGGGCCAACTATATATCCCGGAGTCACTCACCGTAAAGCGCTACCCATTAAGTTACATCATTCGCAAGTCAAAATAAGTAAGCTTTTTCAGTATCAAATATTTCTCCAAAGTATGGAAACAACTTTGTTTATAACTACTCCTATTGACTGCTTAATATCGCTTAACAAAATTTACAAGTTAAACTAAGCGAACTTCCCTAGAAATGACGACCCTATCTAGGGCATAATACTTACTTAGTTGACCATTACAAACGTAAGTCATCCTTGGCCGCGTCGAGTAGCCTCCGCCAGTCAGCCCGATTAGTTGCTTGTTGATAGTATTGTGCGCCCCCAAATCGTTGGTCACCTGGTCTATCCACCAAAGATGCTAGGGCATAATACTGCAGTGTATTTTGAAGAATATCTTCAGAAACCACTTTGTATCTTTTGTGAAATTGATTTTGAACATATAAGCACATAATTCTCTGCGAATATCCTAAAGTGAACAGCACTAGGCTTATTCATCGGGAGGACAGACTTGTTGTCTCCTACAGCATATGGAATAACACAAGACCCTCAAAGGTGCTAAAGTACTCAAGTACTCTGAGTTACAGCGTATAGTAATCTTCATCTGTAATGGGAATACGTAACAATGTGTCTGTTAAGTCGAATAGAACGCTCTTATAAGTTTAGGTATGCGGAGTAAGTACTGATTGCTACTCATCTAATGACCAGTAATCATTTTGTGAGAGCGATTCAACAACTCTCAAATTTTTGAAATTTGACCAAGTATTCACAGATTTGAATTGTTATTTATGTAATTGTTTAGTAATGCGGACGTAATCAAGACTGATTACCAGACATGTGAGACTGACCATTAATGATTTTGTAGGGATTCAACAAACTCACATATTTAAGACCTTTGGCCAAGTTTTCCTTGGATTATGTTAATATTAATATAATTTGTGTAATGCGCATACTGTATTTAGACAAAAAAAAAGCTAAAGCTAAAATTACAACCAAAACTCTAGTGTGAATCCAGTATGAAATAATCATTCTTATCCTTATTTCCTTTTTTATACACACACCAATAAGCGCAGTTTATGTGTAAGAGCTTTGAACGAAATTCGTCTGGTGCGGCCTCAAATAGCACCCGTGGCTATCCAAAGCTATTTAAATTATTATGAAATATATATAAATTAAAAATATAATGGAAAATAATATATAAAAAATGTGAAAGCAACAACATGAAAGTTCATATACTGTTTACCACTCTCGCCTTTCTCAGATTAATATGAGAATTAAATAATAAATAAAGTGTTTATTTTATAAATTTATATTTTTAAAATTTATTTAAAAATTTTTATTTAAATTATTCAAATTTATAAATTTATGTTTATATTCTTAAATTAGCATTTGACAAATTTACAAATTATATTTGAACCTTAAAGACATTTTTAATGTATAAAATTATTACAATCATAACATACGTGTAATGCAGAACTATAGGACAATAGGTTCCTATGCAAAAATATTGCCAAATGCCAATATCTTCGATTTCAATTTGCATAAAATATTCTTAATTATATGTAATTGAATTATAATATAATTATTTAATTATTTATATAAAATTTAATCAAATCAAGTAATCAAGTAATCAAATAAAATTTAGATAGTATCAATTAAGTTAAAGAAAAAAATTTGAAGTTGTTTAGTCATTTAGCTGTCACTCTCATCATATGGTGGGCTACTGGGGGAATAGGCTGGACTGGTTGGACTATAACCTTGCGAGAGCGACGTAGGTGAATATATGGGTGAAGTTGGAGAATAGTTACGTGCGTTCGGTGAATATGTCGGTGACGTTGGAGATGTTGGAGAATATTTAGGACTGCTCGGGGAATAAGCTGAGTAATTTTGACTTGTACCGGAATAACTAGAGCCTGTAGGGCTGTATTGATGTGGTGTATGCTGCGGAGAACTTGGAGAATACACCGGCGATGTTGGCGAAAAGACTGGCGATGATGGAGAATATTTTGTTGAGACTGGTGTATAGCGTGGAGAACCTGGTGAGCCATCATACGATGGTGATGGCGGCGAATAGGTTGGAGAAGATGGCGAATAATTTCCACCCGTTGGTGAATATACGCCCGAACCAGGAGAATAATTTGATTTTGAAAAGCTTGGGGAACTTGGAGAATAGGTCGGTGTAACCGGTGTATACGTTGGCGATGACGGTGAATATGATGGTGAATTCGGTGAATAACTTGGTGAATTGGGTGAGTAGGAAGGGCTTGAGGGTGAGTACGATGGTGAATTGGGAGAATAAGAGGGTGAGTTTGGAGAATAATTAGAAGATGTTGGAGAGTAAGCGCTATTTGGTGAAAACCGCATTGTACCACCAGAAAATGATGGACTTGATGATGTAAAGTTTGAAGATGGTGAATAACCAGGCGATGCGGACAAATAATTTATACCGGCCGGAGAATACCCAGTTGAACCTGAGTTGTAATTGGGTGTATTTGACGAATAACGCGGACTAGACACGTACATAGGTGAAGAGGGTGAGTATGTAGGACTAGATGGTGAATAATTAGGTGACGCCGCAACAGGGGATGAAACTATATAATTCGGACTGGTAGGCGAATATAATGGTGACGGACTTGGAGATTGAGTAAAGCATGGAGACATCCCTGGAGAATTCGGAGACGATCCGGGATGGTTTGGTGACCAACTTGGTGACATGCCAGATACTTCAGATGTTGATGGTGAAAAACTAGGACCACCAGGTGTCATACCCACTATAAAAAAGTAAAAGTTATAATTTCAGTTTATTTTTATTTTTTTTTTTAATATGTTTAATATGTTTACGTTGTCCAGTTGGTGAGAAATAACGTGGTGTACTGCAATTTATCCATGGTGTCTGTGGCGGTGTCATACTAGGCGTTGCACCCGCACCAAAGAACATTGCAGAACCTGCAAGCATATTTGGACCTAAAGTACTTGGTATTTCAATACCGTAACGACATTTTTCTGCATCCAATAATAGATCAAAGCAACCTTTAAATTGATGTGTGATTAGTATATTGTATGAGTCAAATATATTGTATGAGTAAAAGCCTACCAGTTCCCATTTTAGGTAATTGTCCCATAATTATATTTTCCGACACTCCTCTCATAGGATCAGTTTCTGCATGTGCAGAAGCATCCATCAACACATCAACAGTTTCCTCAAAAGAACATCTCATTAAAGCACCAGTATCTTGACGATTTATACCGTGACGTGTAATGGCCATCAAGTGACCTTTTGCTGTCATTACGTCACACAACAAGGCCAAATGACGATAGTTCACGTAAAGACCATAGAACTGCAATACAGCGTTCATCTCTTTCTCAACAGATTTACGTACAGCTTCAATACCCAATACTGTGAAAATTTCACAAATATCATTCGACGAGGTTCGTACTGGGTCAACATCTCGTTCCGACAATACTTTCATCATTGATGTACCATCAGTTTCCAATAGCCATTCTCCAATAGCTTTAAATTCTCCCGTTTCAGTTATAATAATACGTTTTTTGCTGTCTGTTTGTGGCAAATGCATGTATACTTTTCCAATCGCTTCAATGCCTTGTAATGTCATATCAGACAACATATTTGCTTCAATGCAACGCAGAAACATGTCATCTTCCATCTTATCGACAGCCTCATCCTCATCTTGAAATTTATTCTCTTCATTGTTCATAATACGTATACGCAACACAAGCTTGTCAGCATTGTCATCGTTAAATATACAATTTAGATCATCACCGAATCCTGCATTTATTTTTTCAGCAATTTGTTCCATAGTTAATTTTTTATCTGTCATACGTTTACGATCCAACTCAATACGCAGTAGCCAAGGTGAAATGCGGGTTGGATCAAAATCAGGCATTTCATAATAAACATTCACAAATTCTTGATCCTCCGATATAACTGTACGTTGGGGATCTGGATCATAATAAATAGCTGTGTTAGCAGTAACTTTTCTTAAAGTTGTATGTTCTAAACGACACAAAACGTTTTTAGCCTTTTCGGCATCACGAGCTGCACCACCAGTTAGAAAAACAGTAAGTGAAGGAGCCTTTGGCTTCTTCGAAATATTAATAATTTCTTTGAGACGCGGTACACCCAAAGTTACGTTTTTCGAAGATACACCAGCAAAATGGAAAGTATTCAATGTCATCTAAAAGACAATATTTAATCAATACATTAACTTTTTAGTAACAGTTGCAAATAATTACCTGTGTGGCAGGTTCACCCAAACTTTGGGCAGCTAAAGCACCCACCATTTCGCCTGGATTAGCTTGAGCCTGTTGGAATCTTGTCTCGATTTCACCAATTAACCACTCGAAAGCCTCTGTGGACAATCGAAACTCTTCAGCTACATATTTGGTACAAAGCGTTGAACGTACCAAGCAACGGAAGAGCAAAGTAGCGTTTTCGTTTGCTTGTTTCGACAAGCGATCATTGCCAACTACAATGACGCAGCGTTGTAACAAATCGCGTACACCGCTAATCACACGCAGAGGAGACAAATCAGTAGGCATACGTTTATTTATGTGGAAAATCTTTTGTACATTCCAAATCATTCTTTGCAAATTGCAAGGCAATACAACCTATAACATATATGTAAGAATGTATTATAAATTTTAATATACTTTGATGAAGCTCAAACCTTGGAATCGCCGTTGGGAAAAATTTCACGTAATGCTTCGCGATCTCGACACAATTGTTCCCACTCAATTTCTAACTCCGGTAATGCGGATCCACTTTCACTTAATTCTTTAATAACTTCATCAGTGAAAACTTTACGCATGTACCGCTCATTGGACCAATCAAATTTAAATCGCTTTTCAAAGGATTTATTTGACAGTTTTACTGTTGGTAAATTTTGAAATTCCACTGTTTCACCACAAAGACCGTCTTCACCATAACGTAACTGAATCAATTGGCCAACAGAATTTCTAACAGTGCCATCATAATTAACCATAACAGACTCCATAGCCTTTATCAAACGACGCTGAATGTAACCAGTTTCAGCAGTTTTTACAGCTGTATCGATAAGACCTTCACGACCACCCATAGCGTGAAAGTAAAATTCGGATGGTGTCAGACCGGCAAGATATGAATTTTCTACAAACCCTCTAGATTCAGGACCGTAATCGTCTTTAATGAAATGTGGCAAAGTGCGCTTGCGAAAACCGTACGGAATACGTTTACCTTCTACGTTTTGCTGACCCACGCAAGCAATAACTTGAGAAATGTTAATATTTGAACCCTTAGAACCTGAGACCACCATAGCCTTTAGATTATTATATTCAGTTAAAGATTTCTTAGCTGAACCACCAGTTTTGTCACGAGCATCATTTAGAATACGATTTACTTGATTTTCGAATGTCTGCCTCAATGTGTTACCTGCAAATTATAATTAATATAAATTAAAAAAACAATTTTTAACTGATAATAAGAAGTATATATACCGGGTGTGGGTTCCAACTCCATGTTATGTGCCTTTTGAATGACATTTATGACATCATCTTTGGCTTTTTTGATTGCCATCTGAATTTCATTATAGGTCTGAGGATCAGCAATTGTATCACCAATACCGATACTGTGACCTTCTAACAGTAACCAATTGTTTATTACAGTCTGAATGTTACCATAAAAGCGACCTGCGATCTCATGACCCAATTCCAAGAATACAATATGAAGTAGAGAACCAGCCGAAGTACCCAATGTTTTCTTGCACAATATGCCCATAATAAGTTCACCATGTTCTACCATTACTTTTGTGTCACCTGGTGAAATCCATTTATATGGACCATCATCCTCTTCATCAGGATGTGTGGAATGTGTGCGTATCATATTCACATTTCCAGGTATAATCAATGAAAATATTTGTTTTCCTGTCCATAACGGACGTGGTTTTAATATACAAGGTTGTGGCATCTTTCCATCCCAAGTGGGCAAGAACATTAGCAAGTTCATCATTTGCTCACGTGTTATGAAAACATCACGTTTTGTCATTTTTCGAACAGCTGTTAAAGTATCTTGCACAATACCCATAACAGGTTTATTTGCCTATGTGAAAATATTTAAATTAGTAAAACCAATATGAAATTCATTATAATAGATTACCTGTGGTGTAATGATTTGACGTGGAGTGATATGTATGTTTTCCACTTCGGCACGTGTTTCCATAGATTGTGGTACATGCAAGTTCATTTCATCACCGTCAAAATCAGCGTTATATGGGGAAGTACAGGATAAATTCATACGAAATGTAGACCACGGCAACACTTTAACGCGATGCCCCATCATACTCATTTTGTGAAGCGTAGGTTGCCGATTGAAAATTACCAAATCATCATCACGTAAATGACGTTCTACTTTGTAACCACATTGTAAATGTAAATCTGATGGTTTTGGATGAAATCTTAAATCTATACGTTCGCCATTATCACGGACTATGTATTTTGCTCCAGGATATTGTGAATTACCGCGACGAACAAGCTCTTGCATACGATCAATATTAAAGGGCGTTACTAACTCCGGAAAAGTCAAGTTTTGTGCAATTGAACGAGGCACACCAACTTGATCAATACGTAGGTTGGGATCTGGTGTAATAACAGTACGTGCAGAAAAATCAACACGTTTACCCATCAAATTACCACGAATACGCCCTTCTTTGCCCTTTAAGCGCGCCTTTATCGCTTTTAATGGTTTACCAGATTTTTGCATTGCACGTGGCATACCAGGCATATCATTATCAACAAGTGTAGCTACATGAAATTGTAGCATTTTAATGTTTTCTTGTATGACGTGTGCTGCTGCACCAGAAGATTCATTCTTTTTCAATTCATTGTTTGATTTTATAATATCAGCCAATTTGTGAGTTAAATCGTCCTGATTCTTAGCTGCCCCAAACATTACAACAGCTGGTCGTACAGCTAGTGGTGGTACTGGCAACACGGTCACAATCATCCAATCAGGACGTGCAAACTTAGGATCCATACCCAATATAAAGCATTCCTCATCTGTTATGTGTTTAAGAATTTCCCATACTCTTTCTGCAGTTACAAGTATTTTCTTTTCCTGCAGGGAGAATATTCATTTTTGTACCTTATTTACTTTATATTGAAAATTATATCAATACCTGTGAATCCTCATTAACATGTTTCCATTCAGCACTCAATTCTAAACCTGTACGCCTTATTGAAGGTTGGTAATGACCGCAACCACCATGGCCCTGTTTCTTATTAGGATCATTAGGTTGCCCATCCTTCGTCATATCCATATCCTCACCACCTTCGCAAATAGTTTTACCTTTGCACAAATCATAGACATGACTTAAACGTTTGCGTGGTTGTCCTTTTGATTTCATTACAATTTCCTTTATCTTTGGATTATGTGGGGAAACCAGTAGTTTTGAGCAGTAGAAACACACACATCTAAGTATTTTAATTGTTTTTGTTATGAAACCAATATGGAAAACTGGTTTTGCTAAGTCTATATGTCCAAAGTGCCCTGGACACTCCGTCATGTTTCCAGCACAAGTCTGACATCGAGACGTACGATCAATAACGCCTTGCCGTGGATCCATCAATCCACCCAATTTAGGCCTTCCACCCTCCATTGTTTCAGCAAACTGTACCCCCGTTTCGGTTACTGACATACGCCGCTAGTATTATTTAAAATAGTTTGAATAAATAATATCAAAATTGCATTTGGGATAAACGTTATCAAATACTCACAATTTCATCAGGAGATAATATGCCAAACTGTACTCGCTTCACCTGGCGCAAAGGCGCCTTGGAATCGTTAGTACTCATATTTATGAGTTAAAACGTCCTTAACAGGAGTTTTCTACTTTAAAAACAATAATAAAGCACTAAAACATTATAAAAAATTCTAGACGTACTTACGAATAGATTTTCACAACGTTGCGAATGTGATTTCACTTCGTTGGTCTGTCGCTTTTGCTGTCGTGTTTCTCAGAAATATTTTTTTTATTATAACTCTTAAATCTATAATAGAGAAAAATATTCAATAATTGTTAAGAAGAATTATCAAAACATTTTGCTTTTATCATTTTTATTTCACATGCAATACACAAAATAAATTCTTGACTTCTGTAACGCGCACTTACTACGAACCACTGCGACTACTGCGAAATCTACCGAAATGATTAAAACGGCGCCATTAAACATTAATAAATATGTTTAGCAGGGTACTTCGAATCAGAGTTGCATTTCAAGGTGGTAATTATTTACTTTTATATATTGATATGTAAGAACCTTTTCAATAATTGTTAACGCTAGTTATTTAATTTATTAAATTTTTATATATAAAAAGATTAATTGGTTAATCTTTAATATTTATGGTTTAAGTTTATGTTTCATTTATTTTTGCTTTATTGTTTTAATTTCATTATACTCACACACAATTTTCGTCCGACAAGAACCAATTACTTGGGCTGTGTTACCTTATTGAGTACGTATATTAAAAAACTCCAAATACATGTGGAATAAAGAACTGTTTCACATTAGTTTTTAATTTCAATTAATTTTGTTAACATGTCATAAGAACAAGAATTTGATTTTCTGAAACTCCTAATTTTCAGAATTCACTGTTTATTAGTAGTACAAGCTGACGTTGATTTATAGCAATGAATATAATTTTGCAACTAACCAAAATAAATGATCAAGTGGTCTTTTTGATTGAGTTCAATAAAAAATCAAATTTTGTTGTTTTGTGCACATTCTGCTAATTCAAAACAAATTATTTTAAAAATATATATATAATGAAATATATATTATGAATTACCCAAATACGATTATACAATACGCAACGAAATGAAATATTAAAAAATCAACAATTGCTTAAAATTAAAACAAAAATATCTTGTGGATGCGAAACGTAAACAATAATGGCAGATGCCAAACACTACACTCCATATTAGTAAGGTCTGTTTAATGTTTTCATTAAGTGTGTTCTGTCTCTAATTTTCACAGAATTCAATAATAGACAATAATCGATACTAAAGAAATAGAGGTGATTATAATAGCAATAGGTTATTTATTTTAATATATAATTTTTTCATATATGTTATTAGAATTAAACATAATTTCTTATTTTATTTCTTAACTTTAATTCCTTAATTTAATTTAATTTAATTTAATTAATTCTTATTATTATGCATTTTAATATTTTTATTCACAAATAATTTTTTAAATATATAAACTTTTGCCTCAATCCCTGTTGTCATCGGATTAGCATTAAGTATATTCGCCGGATTACAACGTGAGCTGCTCATTGCAGTCTTTGTGGTTTGACAAATCTTACTATATATTCATTTTTAAACAGGTTATCAATTTCGTACATTGTACACAACACAATAAAAAACATGTCAAAAACAAACATTTAAAATATTTTAAAAATGATGCTAATTTGTTTCAAGCAGACTTAATGTTATTTTTTTACTACCTGAGTGAAAAAGAAACTTGAACGTACTACTACTACTACTACTACTACTACTTGAACGTACTAGTAAAAAAATAGCTGAAGTCGGTTTTAAAATGTGTATTGTTGTTACATCTCTGTCCTTTAATGAAATTCGCTTTAGCTAACTTTCTTGCACTAAACATACCCTTAACATGCTACAATTAAAAATAATACAAGGCAAATTAAAATTAAGAGAAAATGTCAAACAAAATTATGAATGAATTTTATTAAATATGCACTAAATTCTCCTATTTATAAGAAAAAATTTAAAAAATCCAGATAATGTAAATTTATTTAAAGTAATTCTGCAAGCAAATACTGAATATATTAAATTTGCTATAATTTAAAAGATTGCAGAGCAACACTGGAAATCTTAAATAAAAACTAAAAACATGTCAATTGGAACAATGTAAATAAAAATAAATTAAAAAGTTTTTAAAAAAATGTCGTCAACCAATGTAAGCGTAGAAAGTGCACAAGCGGAAAAAAATAAAAAATTTAAAATACAAGGTAAGTTTTATTTCAAAAACTGTAGAAACTAATGATTAATAAGTTGTTATGAAACAGCCGCCGCATTTTTGGGTTTAGTAGGAGGAACTTCAGCACTTTTTGGTTTTTCTCGTGCACTTACTAAAGCGAAAAATACCGATAAGGAATTAATTGCTCAAAGTGGAAAGAAAGCCGTTTTGCTTATGGATGAAGGTTCAATGCTAGCGATGCGTGCATTAGGTTGGGGAACTTTATATGCTGTGCTTGGTACAGGAATTTTTTGCTACGGCATCTGGAAACTCTCAGGAGCGAATAATGTAAATTTTTAAAATTAATATTCTTTAAAATTTTTATTAATAATATATATACATTATAAATTCAGATGGAAGAGTTTCGTATGAAGATGGGAAGTGGACTCCCTAAACTAACAAAAAGCGAGCCACCTACTAGTCGGACAGAATTCGATGGACTAACAGATCTTATGAAGTACTTAGCTTCGTGGGGCAAAGAATAACAGATACATTGTTACACACACACACACACACATTGTTCATAGTTATATTTTCAAATTTCATCAAACTTGTTTAAATTTATCATTTTGTTTTATATATATATATTTAAAATCAACAAAAGTTAAGATACGTTAAAATATATTAAAATTTATTTATATAAATTAATTTTTTTTATTTTTCATCATTTGTGCAATTTTATTTAATTTTACATTGTTTAAGTGATGTTCTTTATATTGTAAAGCATTTGACTGCATTTTGAGTATTTCTTCACAACACACATTTAAGTAACAATCAGCCATTTCCCTGAACTCGACACTATCGGCAATAAATTTCTGTAAACATGGCGCTTTTTCCAACTCAGCCTGGTTCTCTGGTGATAAAATTGAGCGATCAATGATCGAATGTTTTTCCCTGGCATTTTGACATTGTTGATAGGCTTTGGCGGATAGTTTCTGCCATTCATTCAATTCGTTTATTAATTTGGCCTCATAACTATATAAATACAAATTAAAGAAATATATACATATGTTGGTATAGATTTTTCCACTTACTTTTTTTCTTCATCATTTGGTTGCTCAAATACTATAGTATAAATAGAAAAACATATTTTTAAATAAAAAGTGTCGAATGTTTACATGTTTTGGAACTTACAGTCAGGAACACTTATGTTGAAAACAGACTTGGTATCTGAATGTTTATTAATTGTTCCAGTTAAAAATAATGCAGGTCTTTCGAGTTCATCAAATTCTACACTGCTCTCACCATCTGCATTACCAGTAAAACTATCCATTGTTTTAAAATAAACAACAACCTTTGAAAATCCAACTAATTTTTTATCAATCTCGCCTTTAAATAGAAGCGCTTTGTTAAGAACAGAGTTGTATTTTTATGTAAACCATGCAAAACAATAACACTTTTTACGACGTGAAATTACTGCCTACAAATTTTTATAGTATATGTAGGCTAATATTAATAGAAATAAAACTATTATCCCACTTTTAACAATAGTTTTTATTTAACGACTGAAATATAACTCAAAGGTGACTCTAAACGTATATAAGAAAAATTATAATTTTTAAGCTGCTTAAAAACTCAATTCTCAGTTCTATAATTTATTAAAACAATTTTGCTTTTAATATTTTAATTAAATATACATGTATCCGTAGTTGCTTTATTATTCTGTTAAGCAGCAGTTCGTTTATATTCTGGCAATGTAGTCCATATAAAACCACCAGGTTTGTTATTAATTTCCATAGAATCCGGTAAAGGATACGGATTGTTGCGGTCTATGTAATAGTTACTAGGCGCATGCATTATAAATTCAAGACAGCTAAGTTTACGTGAGAGTTCCTCATCAGGACCTAAAACATACAAATATTTTTATCATAACTGTGAATTGAAAGCAGTAAATGGCAGAATTCAATTACCTATAACATAAGTAGCTGGATCAAATCCCTCATTTGGATGTGGACTTGCTTGTGTTGGTATGAGCCACGTAAGGTACGCTGATTTTTCACAATAATTATCAATTAATAAACCTCGTATTTGTGCATAATATACATTTGATTCAATATCTATCAACGATACAATGTCGCCAACCTGCATGTAAGTGCCCTAAGAAAATATAATTGATTTTTAATACAATTTTTTAATGATTTGTACACTCTTCATTACCTTGTAAAATACAGATTCAACAACATGTGTGGTTGCTTGCGCAGCTGGAGTTTTAAATGGCGTTTTCTTAAATATATTGCGACGATTTCGACCTTTATTGTGGGATTTATTATTGGAAGAATTGTTGTGGCCATTTTGTGTAGCACTTGAATTATTTACCTTTGCCTTAAAACGTGTCGAACGGGTGCTCTTTCGTAACTTTTTCTCCTCCGACAATTTTAACTCACTCATTTCTTTTATTTCCGAATCTTTCGTGACTTTCTGTTCAGTTGTTGAATTTTCTTCATTATTTTCCTCAGGCTTCTCTTTTGGTTCCTTCTGTTCGAAGCATGCTTGGCAAATTTGGCCATTTTCTGTTGTACGCCATAGCATAGATTCCGTCTTTTCACACTCGATACATTTTGGTGGATTTTTCGGTGTCATTTCAATTAATTTATTTGGATATATTTTTTTTATTATTTTCTATTAAATTTTGTTAATATTATTATTCAAAAATCTACTTGTTATAAACTCTATTTATTTACGAACATGCGTACAAAAGAAAATACATAGTAACTGTATGCCCAAAAAAATATGAAAGCAGAACATAAATGATTGGAAACCGCTTCTCTTAATGCCATATATAATTTAGTGAAATTATCTTGACGTACACAAAAATAGACACCCAAATAATTATAATTTTGATCGCTTGTCAAGAGACACTAATAATCATTTTACAAAACAAATTTTATTGAAATTTTAAATGTTTTTAATTCTTAATTGTTGCAATAATAATTTGTTTAGTTTTGTTGTAGTTTATTGAAAATTATTCATAATATCTTAATACTTTAATAAATTTTTGAAAACATTGCCTCCTGATTTAACATGTAATGAGGTGTATATAATTTTTAACTATTAAGTTTAATGTGATTTATTTTTTAAAATATATGAATATATTTAATAGCTCAAAATACACAATGTTTCTATTTATGAATTTAACACTTTCCTACATTAACAATTTAGTACGAATTTAGCATTGTAAATAAAAATCGTTAAGGTCTAATATTAAATTATTGCAGCTCCGTGGTGACTAAATAAAACATTTTTACAATTTGGAAGGATTCGAATAGCAAAGAAAAGACAAACACAAAAATTTAGTTAATGTATTGAAATTTGGCTGACCATACAATTTGTCGTCATAATTGACGATGAGCGTATTGATGACGTCAATTATTTATAATTAGTTTTTCATATACATATATATTAAGAAGAACATGATTAGTATACAAAAGTAGTAATAACATATATTTTTATTTTTTGGGAACTATATATATTACATTGTAAACTGGTATTGGTATTGGTATCATTGATAGTAGCTGCTATTGCTACATTGAAATACAATAACAACTGCTGAATACTGCTATATCTTTCTGTGTTTTTTAGTAAAACAAAAATTTCACTCACATCTAATTTAATTGCTATTTTGATAAAATAGTAATATAATTAAAGTTTTTAAATGTTTATAAAATTGTGAAATCAGAGTTTGAAAAAATAAATTTAACCAATTAAACAATATTTTACACATAACAATGGTTTACACACAGTAATTAACCATGTTAAAGCAAAAATAGCAACATAGCAGTAGCAAATACCACAACCATAAATCTTATAGCAATTACTGTAGTTTATATTTCTTAACTTCGTGCTGCTATACGGTTCAGAAACACGGTTTGTAATAGTCGCCATCACATACAAGCTACAAACCCTTATCAATAGATGCTTGAGACAAATTTTAAGAATTTGGTGGCCTAGAACGATCAGCAGAGAGTGACTGTGGGCTATAATAGAACAAAAGCCATTTGATAAAGAAATTGTAAAAAGAAAGTATGGGTGATTGGGCCATACTCCACGCAAACCCTTCAGCGAAATCACTCATACGCTGTAGAATGGAATCGCGGTGGACCAAAGACTACATGATGAAGGACAATCAACAGAGGGTCGGGCAAATCTTTCACTGAACTAAAAGCTATAGTGCGTGATAGAATTAATAGGAAATCTTTTGTGATTAGACTAAGTTCTTGAATTTTTAGTTTTGAATATGTTAATAATAATAACAATAATAATAATAATAATGAGGACGAAGGATCTAGCACTCCAGTTCCTTATTCATAGTTAACTTTGAAAATAATTTTAATGTTATCTTACAAATATCATGGTACATTAGGACGAATGACATCCTCAGTGACTTCAAGATTGATCCGATCAAAAAATACATAAGGGATAGAGCCCTGAAATTATTTACGAAAACTGGCAGGCTTACCAACATCGCGTTAACCAATCTCAATGTGGTTACAGGCTCCTCGGGGAGGTATGCAGAACTAAGGTCAATTATTGCTTAATTTGGTGAAGTGTTTACCACTATAATCCAGTTAAAGCTTAGAGAGGGGTTATGAAGAAACCTCGCAGAGTTAATAAAGAGTAAATGTGCTGACTCAACTAACCTCAACATAATAATAAATAAATAAATAATCATAATACTACTTGAGCATTAAATATTTGAACTAATCTTATGACTCCTTCTAAAAAGAGTTTGTCTTTTCTCTTAATTTAGATTTAAAACAAATTTAATAATAAAACAAAATAAATATTTTTTGGTTTGCAACAGTTTACTTTGCCTCGTTCCACGAGTATGTAGCACTAAAGTTTATCTGTTTATATGTTTAAGAGAATATGGTTAAGGCATTTTTTTTCCCGAAAGCGATTGTTGCAGTGATTGTTGCGCTCTCTTCGTGTCGGTATTTTCTGCACATCTGTTCTGTTTCTTGCGAACAACACTTCTTTATTGTTTTTCTTCACGTCACTTTATTTTTGTCTCTTGAAAAGAAAAATTGTAAAATTTGCTGTGGGATAGGAAATAGAACCAATCAATTTTTGTACAATTAAAATAATTTTTCTTTTACAATTTAAAAAAATATAAAATAACGTTTTTAAAAGTTTTTATTTATTTTATATTAAAGTTGTTGCAACAGTGTTAATGAATCTACAATAAATAACATAAATTCAAATGTTTCTAAAAGTAAAAATTATTAGTGTAGTTATATAAATACTAATGAATACAAAAAGAATACTGATGTTTGTTTTAATTCATTAAAGACTTGAAAATAAATCTTTAATAAAATAATAAAAATAGTTTACTTAAGCAAAAAAAAAAATCGCATATTTAGCTAACCACTCCCACCTTATAAACAACCCACCACGCGACTTATTCCGGTAAAATTGCGGCAAACTCCCTTATTGTTGCCTTCAACTGCGTCATCGTTTTTTTTATTGGATTTTGGCTTAACAAGGTAAAATTTGATTTATTGGTAATCAGAAAAAAAGACAAAGAAACAAAAACAAAAACAAAAATAAATTGCTATAAGTAGTAAAATTTGTGATGACATCATAATGCTTAAAACTGCATTCTGATTGTGTGCCAGATATAAATTGCAACAACAACAAGCATGTATCGTCGTCATGCACTTGTCGTTGCGTGCTGCATGTGCTACTCTGCCCTAAAGTTTATTTATTTATTTTTAAATAAATAATTTTTTTTCTTATCTGCTATTTCTTTATTTCTCTATATATTATATATGTATCAATAATTAATTATCGTAGAATGAGTGCATAAATATGTTTTGAAAAAAAAAAAAATAAATGTTTAGTGTGCATGGTACACTAAAGTACAAACATTGTGGTTTTCATAGTTAATCAAAGCTTATAGTATTTTGTCATATGGACAAGACAAGTTTATTTAGTTTGAATTATTTAATATAAACATATTGATAAAGAGGGAAAAGTTATTTGTTTAAGATAAAAACATTTTTTTTTTACAACAATTCGTATCACTAACAGCAGCGCAAAGCAGAATATGACCAATTTTAAATAAGAGTGCGCGGTGCCCACACTAAAATGGGTTTCTGTCCGAAATAAGAGTAATCAAAACAAAACAGTGCCGCAGCGCACAACGTATTCATTGTAAGAGTAACGCAAATGTGTGCAAAAATAAAGAGAGCAAAAAGTTGCAAGCGCTCTTCGACTTGTAAAAATAGCTAAATTTCGAAACTGTGCTGACTTTGTTTGTTATTTCCAAAATTGAAAAAATTTTAATCAATTTTAAAAAATTGTAAAAAATGTTCATACTAAATTCAAGCTTTTATAATAAATATAATTATACATGGTGCTCTCTTTCATTAGAAGTCCTCTTGATGTTAAAGTTGAAGCCCATAATAGTGATGGTAAAGATATTTCGATATCAATTTTTTTTCGATACTAAGTATTTTTAGTTAATACCTTTCAAAGAAGATAAGAAGGTGTCTCTCGGTATTTGATACCGAACAAGATATATGTATGTCTAACATAGGTCAGGTTAGGTTATACCAGCGATCGTAATGATCACTTAAGCCTTAGGGATCATTATGTTACCTTATAAGAACTCAAAGTTATAGAAACCTTTGGCAAAGCCCAAATGCTTTTTAGTGGGAGATCTTTAAGTGAACCAAAATTCTTAAAAAACGAGACCCTAAAATAGTAAATTGGCACCGCGTATACAATGGGCAGTAAAAAAGCAGATATCAGTATTTTCGACTTATGTTAGTGCAAATGCAAAATACTCTTTAAAAGCATTTGTATATGAGAAAATGTCGATTGTTTGTAATTAGTAAAATAAACCTTTCCATCTGGCAGACATCCCAAACATATAATAGACCTTCAAAAAAATTGCTTCATCAATTGTGTAAGCTGGTTTTAAAACTGAGATTTGTTATAATCAGGTTTGTAATAGGAAAAACACGTCTATGATGTATACTCCATACACTTCTTATACCGTGTAATGTAAGTGGACAACGTATAGACAACGCTAAACGACACGACTCCCCCATTTAAATAAAAGTAAACCAACTTAACAAGTCTATAAGCCTGGAAGTACATAAACATTAGAACACGTTTTATGCAACTGTCCAGCAGCGGCAAGACAGGTCTTAAATCAATTAGATAAAATTAACCCCACAGCAATTACGAGAATCATAAATGGTCTAGAACTGTTTTTAGACACACAGTAGATCTTTTAAGTTGTGGTGCATTCATAGCCTATTATTTATTAATATTAATAGAACACAGTCTGTTTCTTATTCGAAAAGCCATAATATCAACAAATGGGATTATAGGGTAGATCCAGTTTCATAGCATGTCTTCGTAATACTCAGTGACTAGTCAGTACCAATTCCATAGTACTGATTCCATAGGTGACTGGTACGTTTCTTATCTAGTTTGAAATAGGCAGATCTTGAGATGTGACAAAAATATTTATCTGCCCAGATTTTCTTTAGCTATAATCAGATATTTGCAAGCGAAATACCAATATCCGTGATATGAATGTCAATAAGCAGTTCTGCAGCTGTCGGAAATGTCTTTGTGTCCAGGTAAGCATAAAAGTTGAACACTGAACTGTTAGGGATGTAGCTGTAGCGGTTACCAGAGATTTGGCTGTCCAAGGCGATTATGATATTTACATCGAGATAACCCGACATCACAAAAAACACTGTTCCGCAAAACTAACAAATCATTTAATGAAGATTAATTGCTAGCAATAGAAACAAGTAATAAAAAAAATTTAAATCGGATTAGCGAATAAGACTTGACCGTCGTAGACAGTATAATTTTACAAAAGAATATAATTTATAAAGGGAA